AGTTTTCTTCTTTATAAAAGAAATTTATTAAATATTTTTTAGATTTCTTCTTTATAAAAAAAAATCACTAAATATTTTTTTAAGACTTCTTCTTTATAAAAAAAAATTTTTTTTAATATTTTGTAAACATTTCTTCTTTATAAAAAAAATTCATCAATTATTTCTTCTTTACCCAATATAATTTTTTACTTTTTAAATATTAACACCCACAACAATTTAAAAAAAAAAATCAGACGTCAGCTATTTAAAGCATAATTATCTTCTAATCTATAACATTACGATTAAATACGTATTCTCTGTTATAATGGCACTATAAATTACTTTCTAATAATCATGATAATTTTTCCTCACGACAGTATATAATAATCCAAAAAGCACTCCTTAAAAAACTAAAAAATCCGAATATTTAAAATAATGACTGAAAGCTCATATTTTTTCTAATCCTCATAAATTCCTCCATAATATATTCTTCTAACGACAATTTAAATCTCTATACAAATAAATGGCTTTATAATATTACAACACACTATTCCTTACACATGTGTTTAATAATTAAATTTATAATAGTTATTAAAACTTTTTTATTTTAAATATAAATTTTCTTCTTTACAATTAAGGACTTGTTAAATATCTTCTTTAAATTGATAAATAAATCCAATTAACCTCCACGATTTTTTGTAATGACAAGAGTGTGGCTTTTTAAATGCACCATATTATCATTAAATATACTTTGTAAATTGTTTCTTTATTAATTAGTAATTAGTATTATTATTATTATTATTTATTAATCCATTTGCATTACGTGATGTGTTACTACTTGGCGTCATAGATATGTCCAGTATTTTAACTTTAAACTTAATAACTTCTGCGGTGACAACAGTTGTGGCTACATCGTTTGTATAATTACCATTATTATTATTATTACAATTATTATTACCTCTTAAAATACTAAACTCCTTTTTACTGTAATTAACCGTGCTGTGCAATTATTTACCGTCAATTTATTTATCTAAAGCCTGTAAATTTATTAATTCGTTTTATTTAAATTCTTTATTATTATTATTATTAATTAATTAATTTTTTTACTCAAGTGGACTACATATATGCAATGGATTTAATAATTATATTTATATACTTTTTAAATCTATATCTTCTCAATAGTATAAAGCTGTCAAAGATGGTCCATTTTAGTCACAGCATTTAGAAAATTGTTTGTTTATTTTTTTTCAATTAAAAATTAATTTTATAAATTTTTTTTTTACTGAGGAAAATCGTTTACAATAATTAAATACTAAATATTAATTTAAAATTAAAACTTAAACAATTTATTCCAATTTTTTTTTTTTTCATTAAAAAAATAATCTTATAAATTTAGTTTTTTTTTTTTTTATAAATATTTAATGATTCTCACCAACAGTAGCAGGTACAGTACAAACGGCACAATGGAAAAAATTCTAGAATTTATAAATAAAACGATAATCCTCATTCTAATTTGTATACAAGATTTACTAAAAAAATTACAAGCATTCTTACAATGGAAAAATATTCACCAATTTCTTCCCACATTTAATTTTCATATTTATTATTATTAAACTATTCTTCAATTATTAATATTTAATTTTTTATTTATTCATATCGATTATCAGATATTTAAATAACTAGAGAAGACATAAATATATCAAACATTTCTTCTTTTTATTAAAAATAACAATTATATTTTATTTATCCATTTGTTTAGATCAATAAAAAAGTGTTGCCTAAAAGATTGCACTTTGTGATCATCTTAAGTCAAGATATACAATCTGACTATTTATGTGTTTATATATATGTATATTATAATAATTATTATTATTAATTGTAATAATATAATAACATTTAAATTGATACTGTCGATTACAAAATTCAAAAAAAAAATTTATAATTTAATAATTACAAGAATAAAATTAATTTTTTTTTTTTTCGGGATTTAAACCCTGGTCCTTTATCTTCTTCAATTTATATATTTATTAATTTTATTCTCACAATTATTTCATTTAAAAATTAAAATAATGTTATTTTATTTAATAGTTTAAAGTATTATAGAGGAGGGCCACAAATGGTGCCAGGCACTATTAATTCCGATACCTGTGTAGTCCATTACGAGTACATTTAAATAACATTTCATTAATATAAATTAAGTATTAATAATAATAATAAAATATTATTGAGTTTTTTAACGTGTCAATTAAATAAGCGCGGTCTTGATATATTTTACAATAAATTTATAAATTTATATGCAACAAAATATCGGCAGTATCACGGATTTTTTTTTTTTAATATAATTTTAAGCTCTGATTTATTTAACAAATATCGATCACGCGCTTGTTGAAAAATTTTTAAAATTGTTAATTTGTATTTTTTTTTATATCAAATGTGCAAAATACTCGTGGAAAATGAATATTTGTACATAGACTTACAATATATGTTATTAAATTTAATTTATCTGCTTTACTTTAGTCTGATAAGTATTTACTAATTAACACTGAATAAATGTGTTTTTATATTACTTAACTATGTTTAAAAATTCTGTTTTTTTTTTTTTATATAGTTTAATATTTATATATATATACTAATTTCGAACCTTCACAGATCACGTAAAAGTCTCGTACAGCAGCCGATTTTGCCAAAAAAAATCAGCAGTCATAGACCGTCAATTAAACTCGCTCAAAATTTTTTAAATAAATAATAATAATAATTATAATGCATCCAATTGAAATTTAATATTTATGAACTAGTCTAAATAATTATAATTTATTATTAAAGTATATATATATCGCGTTACAGATGCTAATAAAAATCCTATTTTTTTTTCAAGTCCAAAAAAAATTTTTAGTTTGGAAAAATTTTTTTTGGACAAAAAAAAATAATTGAATTTTTATTATACGCGAAAATGCCAAAAAAAAATTTATACGTTCTTATAAGGGCACGGAAAGAAGAAGATGACACTGCATATCATCTTAGATTATACTGAGTGATATCTGGATTATAATAATTGTAATTTCCCATTTTACCCAGTAATATATCTCTGATTATACCGCATAAAATTACACTGGATATAATTCGAGATACTATCCTGTATAATTTATTATACTCCGTATAATCTTGGATTATACCCAGTGATATCTCCACCATTTTTTTTTCTAGCGCCATTATCATATCTCTATTATGTATTTCAGATATTAGGACAGTCAAATATTATTTTGAATACTATCTAAAATTTTTACTAACCACAGATATCACTGAGTATAATCTGGTATGATATCCAGTGCTATCTTGTTCTTTCCGTGTAAAGGCGTATAAAATTTTTTTTTGCATTTTTGCACATTTCCGACAAAAATCTGAAATGCGATATATATAATATACTTTTGTATAAAATTTTTTACAAATAAAAACATTAATTTAGTTGGTGTTTTAACGATCTAGGTACATCGAATAAAATAAATTTGACTCTTAATTTAAATCGTTGATAATTGACTAGATCAATAACTCGTGGAAGTTGACCCGAATAATAATTTACGAATAATCAAAAAAAAAACTAAATAAAAAAAAAAAATTAATTTATTTATCATAGTATAATTTGGCAAAAAAGAATAATATTAATTATTAATTATTAGTAATAATAACAATAATATATTAATAATAAAAATAAAAATTAATTAAAGTAGAGTAAAAATATTATTTAGCCACACAATCGACTGAGGTAAAGTTATCAACGGATTATGCTGCTGAGACTACTATACTACTCTAAAAAAAAAAAAAAAAAAATGTAACAAATAACATTTTTTAAAATTGTCAATTACACTTTCTCCCAGACTCAATTTTATAAATATAATTTTCTCAAATTTTTAAATATTCTCAAATGGTTCATCGTATGACGATTCTAAAAAACACCAGTAGACATTCAATAAAAGTAGTTAAATATATATATATATATATATATAATTACCATCAAAACTATTATTATTACTATTATTTATATAATAATTATTTATATGCCTAAAATATTTTTAGTCGCGTGAGTGAGATGTATCGAGCGTCAATAATTAATAATTAATCTTAAACATGTTACTATTATAATTATCATTATCGTTATATCATTACAATTACAATTTTGTTTAAAATCGGGATACATCTTATTATTTTTTTTAATTATTTTTTTACGTGAAAGTGCCATACCAACAAACCATTACGAATCTTTCTCGAAATATATACAAACAACACTTCTTATTATACACATGAAAATATATATCACATATACATACATGTGTATATATAATATAATATAACATAATATATTTATACTTTTAATGATATATATATTTATATTTATATATATATGTAAAGTTTCAACATTATTATGGCACCGCAGTTATCAATTAATCATCAATCATTAATCCATGAAATAATTTCATAACTTTCTTCCCTGTCTCCGCGTTTACAATTGTCGCAGTTAATATTATTATTATTATTATTATTATTTATATAATTTTATTTAATCAACAGATTAATTAATTAATTAATCAATTAATCCACTCAGGGATATTGCAATTAACCCCAAGAAAAATTTTTAAATATTTTAAAGCCCGTACAATTAAACATGAGTCGTAACTCAGAATTTTTATTTTTTTAAAATAAAATTACGACGTTGTTTGACATTACATTGTTTGTCTGTCGACTTAGAGGCTAAAAAATAATTATAATTATAATTATGTTTGCAAGCAAACGCAATTCTGGCACCAGCTACACACAATGTGTGTTTTTTTTTATTTTATTTTTTTTTTTTATGTATGTATATTATTTGTTTTAATTTTTAATTTTTTACTTTTAGTATTTAATTAATCATTGAATTTAAAAGTAATAATTAATCATTTTTTTTTCTTATCATTTTTATTTAGGTTTATTTATTGGCCGTTGTACGACGATGCGGGATAAGACCAGCAGGGTCGCAAATTGGCCCGACATTAGGTAGCCCATCCCTCAGTGATCCTGGCGCGTTTCATCAGCGGCCCGTTTTCATAGTCGGGGTTACCGCCACCACCACTCGTTGAATGACTTGTCCTCATGTCAACATTACCACCCGGAGAGGGTAAATTTGTAGGTGTTATACTACCAGAATGAGAGGGCGGAGGATTGCTGGTCGGTCGATTTGAAACGAGATTCAGGGTCTGCTGTCCGTGTGAAACATGATGAGAAGGTCCACCGCTGTTTGATGGCGGCCCGATACTCAGATTTGTGTGGTGTAAGTTTGTTATACCTGGCCCGCCGCCGCTATTTCCGTGAGGATCTCGTGGCGGACTTATTGGCTCGCTTTTTATTTTCACTGGCAACGGTGACGTCGATGGCGGTGGCGTGCTACTAGATACGGCTAGGTGAGGAAGGCTGCTGAAAAAAATTTTTTTTTTGTTTAAATTTTTTAATTATTATTATTAGGACTAAAGAGTTGTATTTAATTTTAGTATGATTAATTATATTTGATTTGAAAATAGTTCAATTAAATTTGTTGTTTAATATCAATAATTATCAGACGAGAATTACAAAACAAATTACAGTTAGTTGACGTTACAGGACCAATAAATTGAACTAAATAAAAAAATATTAATTACTCAATTAATAACAATAATAAACACCAATAAGGTAGCTACGAAAAAATTGTCACAATTATATCTATATGAATTAATAGAAATGAATTCGGTACAATTGGTGGTTGATTATTGAATTTTTACATCATAAAAAATTTTTTTCATTATACTGAGAAATTGTCGGATAGTTGTGTTTCATATAAAAGTTTTATATGTATAAATATTCGAATTTTTTAAAAATTTAATTTTTTTATAAAAATATAAAATATAAAGATTAATTTTATGAACTTTTTTTTTATCTCAAACCCGAATTTAAAGTTATGTATTTTTACTAAAAATTTTCGCTAGATTAATTTTTAAAAAAATCTATACCTGAAATTTGCAATTGAAGTATAAAAAAAAATTTTATAAAATTCAACTGTCTGTTTTTTTATTTTCATATGAAAATTATAATGATATTAGCAACCTTGCAGTCACTATGAGACTACCGTGACTTGTAAAATATAAATAAATAAAATTTTGCTCTATTAAATAATGACTTTTGTTAAATTGCACTTTACTTTCTTAAATATTGACGTTTTTAAAGATATAAGCTCATCCTGATGTTACACTCATCAAGAGCTTTCCTTTGAGTACCCACATGCATTTTTGATATATTTTTCATAAATACATATATATAATATATATTTTTAAATTATAAGCTCATCCAGATGTTATACTCATCAAGAGCTTTCATTTGAGTACCCACATGCATTTTTGATATATTTTTCATATATACATATATATAATATATATAAATATATGAAAAATTGATGTGGGTACTCAAATGAAAGGTCTTGATGAGTGTAACATCAAAATGAGTTTATATCTTTAAAAATGTCAATAATTCACAAGATACAAGGTCATTTCTTAATTATTGATATTTTTAAAGATGTAAGCTCATCTTGATGTTACACTCTTCAAGAGCTTTCATTTGAGTACCCACATGCATTTTAATATATTTTTCATATATTCATATATATAATATATATGAACATATATATAAATATATGAAAAATTAATGTAGGTACTCAAATGAAAGGTCTTGATGAGTGTAACACCGCGATGAGCTTATATCTTCAAAAATGTCAATAATTCACAAGATACAAGGTAATTTCTTAATTATGTATCTAGAAATAGAGCATTTTAAAATGCAGCCTAAATACTTATCATAAAAGTCATAAATTGATAATGAATAAATAATTATCAAAGATAATTAATTATTAAAACGAACCTAATAGCGTAATAGAGTGTAAAGTGCTAATGAATTATTAATTAAAATTCTAACTATTAACACAAAGCGTAACAAGAATGAAATAATTTACCTGATGTTGGACATGGTGGCTGCCGAATACATTGATAAGTCATCAACGTACCTCTGGTGAGACCACGTGAGACTCCCGAGATCCGATGAATAATCTGTTGATCCAAAACTCGAGTATCCAGCTGCGACAGACGGGGTTTGTAGCGCTACGACCGGTGTGTTGAGTGCATTCTGTGTGTGGCCTCCCTGCGTGAATGTACAATAACTTTATTATAATAATTATAAGTAGTTTTTATTATTTAAAAACAAATAAAATAAAATCCAGTCTTGGATTGAATATTTTATTTTAATTCTACTCTACACTAGCTTTTCATCCCCTTTCCCAGAGCTGCTTACAAGTTTATACATATGAATGCATATGCAACTATTATCTACAACACCTTTGAATTTACATTCCGCATAAATTCAATTAAAGCGTTTATATACGTCACTTAAATAATAAATATATAATAAAATGACATTGTGACTTACATCGTAATTATTATCCTCAGAAAGCGGTTGTGTGAGCGGCGTGGGTATGACAACTCTCAGATTGGCCCTGTGAGGATGATGAGGCGGTGGTGGTTGTGGCGAGTGTCGGGACGGATTACCACCCTTATTCGCACCGCCAACTCCCAGCGCTGGCGACGGACCTGGACTCGGCGAACCGCCAAGTGGTGATGCCGATGGTGGATATCCATTACTCATCTCCAGCATTCCACCAGGTGGATAAACTGGAATAAAACATTCATTATTGTTTCCATTATCTTAATTGGAAAAAAAAAAAAAAAAAAAAAAAAAAAAAAAAAAAAAAAAATCAAATGTCAGTTTATCATAGTACAAGTGTCTTACAGTATTATTAATTATTATATTATGCTATTAATTATTATTATATTATAATCTTTTTGTACTTAATTAAATTTTTAATAAAGTCAATTTATTTTTTTATTTATTAAATATTTGATTTTTTTCTTATTTTATCAATTTTTGAATATAATTTAATAAATATTTATTTTACAATAAAAATAAAAATTTTTAAAAACTATTAATTAAATTTTTTTAATAATAACTAAAACTATATCTTGGATTTTTTTTCAATTTTTCATACAGAAAAAAAGTTTAAATTGACAGAAAATTTTATTTAAACGTGTAAGTTATAAAAAAAAATAAAAAAAATTTGTGATTGATTATTTTAAGTTCCAAAAAATTCAACAATACCAATAAAAAGCGAAAAATTTATATTCTGAGGTATAAAACCAAAGAATATTCACATTAAAATATTTAAATATATAAGAAATTATATATGTTGGATTTTTTTTTCAATTTGTCATACAAGAAATTTTATTTAAACATGGAAGTTATAAAAAAATTTTTTGATTATTTAATATTTATTTTACAATAAAAATAAAATTTATTATTTTTTATTGATAAAATATGATACTGAAATCAATATCTAAAAATTTATAGAATTTTTTTTTTAACAAAAAAATTTTAATAAAAATAAAAATTTTTAAATACTATTAATTAAATTTTTTTTAATAATTATTTTTCATACAGAAAAAAAAAGTTTAAATTGACTAAAAAAAAATTAAAAAATTTATTTTAAATTCTAAAAAATTCAACAATACCAATAAAGAGCGAAAAATTTATAGTTTGAGGTATAAAACCAAAAAATAATTAGATATTTGCTGACTAGTGTTATAAAAAAAATTAATAACTAGTGATATAAAAATAAATAAAATAATTGACTAAAAAATAAGATAGGAGCATAGAAGTAAATTTACCTGAATCAGTTTCAGATGAAGAAGGTCGTGGAGAGATGCTGGTGTGTGCCATTTGAGGACTAGATCCCAGGAGAGATTCTCCGTAAGAATTAACTGGTACAGACACGGGCAATGTGTAATTCGATTGTCCAATTGTCTAAAATAAATGAATTAAATATTAAAGTTAGTTATAATCATAATCACCAGTGTAATTATAATTATAAAAAAAAAAAAAATAATTGAAAAGAGTGAAGTGTTACTTACCCTCGTGCCATTGTGCTGATTCCTCTGCATCATCATCTGGAACTCCTCGTCAATTTTAGTGTACTTGGCCTCGGTACGTGGAGTGAGATTGTACTCACTAGCATCTGGCTCGGGACTCTCTGGTGACATTGCGCCTTTATGCTCCTTCTTGTTGAGGGCCTGCAAGTGTTAGCAGACAGGTTCACATGACCACACTGCCCGAGGGCACTCAACTTTTATTTAATGTGCAATTAACTAATAAGTTATCCCCAGCTACTGTACTGTTTTATTTTTTCGGTAAATCTATTTTATTTTATTTTATTTAACAACGGCAATTAATTTAACAACGGAATAAATTATCGGTGGGCTTATTATATTATTACATATGACTAATGATTTTTTTTAATAATTAAATTATTTAATTTAATTTTTTGATTAAGTAAAAACCAAGTTACCTCGATAATGTTTTTGTTGGTCAGTGATTCGTGGGGTTCGTTGTACTCGGTGTACTTGAGGAGTACTTTGTCCATATCCGTGCTGGCATACTGGTAAAGTTTGTTGCTGGAACTGAATATTATCAGCGCAATCTCGCAATCACACAGCACCGATAATTCATAAGCCTTCTTCATAACTCCGAATTTCCGTTTGTTGAATGTCACCTTAAATATTCAATCAATTGATTAATTTTTTTTATAATGACACTTGTTAGAAATTAATTGTTAATTGTTAATAGCTAACGCTTAACCCTAATTGCCCGAAGTTAGATAAACCAGTTGAGTATTAAGAGTCAAAAATCTTGTCACTGTGAAATAGTAATTAAAAACAGACTATAATAGCTATAATTAATAAATTTAATAGTATTTAATAAAAGTGTTTTTTTGGTACTAAAAAATTTAATCCGGCATGACTCAGTTAAAAAAAAATTTCCAACGTAAAATCCGAAAATTTTATCTCTATTAGATTATTTTTTTTTAATTTTTATTTTGTTCAATTAAATAAATAATAATTATGAAAGAAAAGTTATTAGAAGTGAAAGAGTATAATTAAATGTAAATTAAAAAAAATTTTAATTATTATGCAATAATTTTAATTATTAAAAAAACTTGTGAAAAATTTTAGGTGTTAAATTTTTTTTGTATATTTATAATTTAATTTTTGTAAATATTTTAATTGTAAAAAAAATAAAAAAAAAAAAAAAAAAATTATATTTTTATTTTATGTTTAAATAAAAATTTATTAATAAATAATTAGAAGTAAGAGCGTATAATTAATTGTAAATTTTAATTATTATGCAATAGTTTTAATTATTAAAAAAAAATATGAAAAATTTTAAGTATTAGATTTTTTTTTGTATAAAATTTATGATTTAATTTACATAAATAATTAAATAAAAATTAATTTATAAATAATTACCTGACGATTCCGTTCGTCTGTGATCCGCGAAATTTGTATCTTCTTCCGACCCATTGTAGTAATTTTTGGCAAATCTGTATTACGCTCAATTCTCTGGCTGGAATGTTGAAAACACTGGAACAAAAACAAAATTTCAAATGAAATAAAATAAAAAATAAAATTCTAACTAATTAATAAAATTTACTTTTTAATTATTAAAATAAAAGCTACTTAAAAATCGCGATGACCGTCAGAGTAAATAGACGTAAAATTCCGCTTGTAAAGTCGCAATTAATAAATAATAAATTATCAGGCATACATTTAATAACAAGTTAGTCTGATATTAACACCAGACAAGCGTGTTGCTCTTACTGTATCGTGTGTAATGTATAGTAACGATAATCCTTCTCCGACATCTTAAACTTTATTTTTCTCCCTCTACTTTCTTTCTCAATATTTCCCTTTCTTTCACATTTATTTTCCCTCTTTACTTTTATATTTTATACAAGAATATATTTTTCTCCATTTGGACTCTAGCTACTCTTTGCTCTATCCTCTATATACTCAACATATAATATCATCGACGTACATCATATCACCGGTCTTTTATTATAAGTCGATTTAATTAATACACTTATTTATCGCGTTACAATAACCGTCTAATTGTCAATCGTTACTGTTTAATCTTATGCCTTGTATATTACAATCTTACGTCTAATGCGTTTTTCAAACGCAATTAAAAAATCATTAGTGTATTTGATTATTTACTTGAGATTAACAATTTTATCGTAAACTTAATAGCCAATAATTTACAACCAAAATTTTTTAGAAATTCTTTAAATTAAATAATCTTTAATTTAGAATTTTTTTTCTTGATTTATTTGAACTTTCTCAAGTACTTAATATTAAACATTAATTATCAATTAAAATTTTTTTTCTCCAAAAAATCTCCAAAAAAACTATCAAAATTAAAAAAAATATAAAAATATTAATTATTGATATAACATTTTTATAATTTGTAATTTAAAAAATTTACAAAAGTGTAAGAGTAAATTTTTATTCATTTTAATTAAAAAAAAAATTAATTCTTATCTTTTTAGTTTTAGATCAAATTTTAATAAAAAAATTTTTGAGATTAAATTAAAAAATTATGGCTGAGTTAATTAAAGTTTTTTTCTTAATTTTTGGCGCTAAACATTTTTGATAATTTTATTTTTATGTCTACAAAAATCACATTAAAAATTCAAAATTTTATAAAAAAAATATCTATATTTTAATTTAAAGTAATCCAAAGGTAAATTTACATTTAAAAAAAAATATTCTTTAGTATTTTAAAATCTAGAATAATTAGTCTTAATTTGAAGTGTGTTAGCAATTAAAGCCCTTATTTAATAAGGTGCAAAGATGAAAAAATTGTAAAAAGTAGTTCTTACTGCTGTACAATGTCCAAATAAATAAATCAATTTTATTTATTAGGACAGAAAAAATTTTTTGCTCCAAAAAAAAATTTAACTTCACCTAAAATTATTTTAAACTCCCTCATTAATTTTCTATAAAACCCAAAAATTCCTTAAAAAAAAAAAACTCCCTAAATTTTTAATAAAAAAAAAAAATTATGGGATAAAATTCGAATAATTGAACTTTTAAGAACTAAATTCGGTATTGAGAAAAATAATATAAAAAAATCTTATCTAATAAGATGTAATGAAAAAATTGTAAAAAGTAGTTTTTACTGCTGTACAATGTCCAAATAAATCTATCTTATTATTTAGAATAAAAAAAAATATTTTTCTTAAATAACATTATTTATATTTTTCTAAAATTATATTAAGCTTCCTCATTAATTTTCTATAAAACCCAAAAATTCCTAAAAAACTCCATAAATTTTTAATAAAATAAAAAATTTAAAAAAATATTATTGGATAAGATTTGAGACATAATTGAACTTTTAAAAATTAAATCCGGTATTAAGAAAAATATAAAAAATGATTGAAGATTAACTATGACATTAACAGATTATTTATTAGAGATAGATAGACAATATGACTAATAAAGTCGCGAGACATGAATATCGCGTATAGTTTAGTGTACATTGATGACAACATAAAGCGAGTAAATCAAAGTAAAAAATAACAACAATAATAAAAAATAAATAAAACTAAGAGAAGAAGAGGAGAATAATAAAAAAGCACACAACACCAGTATACAGCAGGAACATAAAAACCAACCGTATCGACTTTTAATTCAGACATGGGTGGCTGGACTCTCTTTCTTTCTTACTCGTATCGTTCTATACACATCCCACTTAACAGTGTAGTGTGTAGTGTACTTTCCCTCTTTCTCCCTCGCTCACTTACACAAAACACTTATACTTACACTCATACTCTTCGTACCTCATACATTCATATTATTTTCGCGGTCTCTTTCTCGCTCACCGACGTGCAAGTCTTATCGACGTTTCCCCGTCACGTTTGTACCCTCTGCTTCTGTTCTCCATAAATACCTTTTTTTTATTTCATTTTATTTTATATTTCCAATACATACATATACATATATATATCATATATACGTGCTCCACCGTTTTTTAAAACATATTTTATTTTTTAGTTGACTTACTTTTCTCAACATTATATCGGTCATTCAACGATCCTATCTCTTTTATATATCACACATTTTATTGAGTCAATCGATTAATTTTATCGAAGAGTTACGACTATTTTTTTGGGTTTTTTTTTTTCTAATTAAATTACAAAAAATAATAACTCGAAAATTTTTTTCTAATAATAACTCCTATTATTGCACAAATTCACATCATCTTCCCTGCTCTGTTTTTATAAAGTTCTATAACTTAACAGAAGACGGGACAAATTGTATTTGTTTCTCAAAAGTATTGTTTTTTTTTTTAAATAAGTTTATTTATTTTGTTTTTACACTTGCCATTCTATTTCCATACACAAATATAAACGCTTATTACTTTAAGAACCCATATCGTATCCTATCATATCATACTTTTAATAGAAGTATATACCCGAGAAATCGATCCGACAAAACTGACCACTGTTAGTTTGTTCGCATGTCCACTTTCAACTTAAACGTTTTTAATTTAATTCACGAAAGATTGCATGATCATTCGAGTGCCTGTCTTTAAAACACCTCTCCAAAAATTATTTTTTTTTTTCTTTTAATTTTACTTGATTATTTGGAGCGCTTAAATTTCTTTCTTTTTAATTATTTTTTAAATAAATATTAAAATGAAAATTTTTTATTTATTTAAAATAAATAAATTGAAATTTTATTTGAAAATTAATGCAAGCTTAAAAATTCAAACAATTTATTAGAATAAATTCTAATAATTAATCTATTAAGAGAATAAGCAAAATTTTGTGGCCAGTGTATTTATATAATAAAAAGGGATCTTTATGGTTAAATTTGGTATCGTTGGAAAAGTCTTGACCCGGAGTTGTTCCTTTTCAGGGTTTTATATTATTCTCACCAATAGTCAATTTATGATGATAAGTATTTAGGCTGCGTTTGAAAATTCTCTATCTACATACATAATTAAGAAATGACCTGGTATCTTCTGAACTATTGACATTTTTAAAGATATAAGCTCATTCCGATGTTACACTCATCAAGACCTTTCATTTGAGTACCCACATCAATATTTCATATATTTATATATATTATATATATGCATGTATGAAAAATATATCAAAATGCATGTGGGTACTCAAATGAAAGCTCTTGATGAGTGTAACATCAGGATGAGCTTATATCGTTAAAAATATCAATAATTAAGAAACGACCTTGTATCTTGTGATCTATTGACATTTTTAAAGATATAAGCTCATCCCGATGTTACACTCATCGAGACCTTTCATTTGAGTACCCACATCATTTTTTCATATATTTTATATATTTATATATATGTATATATGAAAAATATATCAAAATGCATGTGGGTACTCAAATGAAAGCTCTTAATGATTGTAACATCGGGATAAGCTTATATCTTTAAAAACGTCAATAGTTAAGAATGTACAATGCAATTTAACATAACTAAAAAATGACCTTGTATATCGTAAGCTATCAACATTTTTAAAGATATAAGCTCATCTCGGTGTTACACTTATCAAGACCTTTCATTTGAATACCCACATGCATTTTCATATATTTTTCATATATACATATATATATATTATATATAAATATATGAAAAAATGATGTGGGTATTCAAATGATAGCTCTTGACGAGTGTAACATCGGGATGAGCTTATTTCTTCAAAAACGTCAGTAGTTAAAAAAGTACAGTGCAATTTAACAAAAGTCATTATTTAATAAAGCAAAATTTTATTTATTTATAGTTCACAAGTCACGGAAGTCACATATAGTGACTACAAGCTTGGTAGCTTATATAAATCCTGAATACTCACAATTAATTTTTTATAATTCATTGGTTTAAAAATTTCAATCTAAAATTTATTCTAAATGTTTAATACCAAAAAACTAAAATTAATTTCTTCAAATTATTAACAAATTTTAAAATTTAATTTAATTGATAAAAATTTGTATATTTTAAACCCATCAAGTTAAAATTAAAAAAGAAAATTTTTAAATTAAAACTTCTTTGAAAAAAAATAATACATAAAGCAGAACGCTTCGAGTTCGTCTCCCGGGCCGGGTTATCTAAATTTTTTTCGGTTTATCATTAAATTCCCATTGAAGTTTCTCTCCCTTTCTTTGATACGATTTTTTCTTAAATTTTTCTCCAAACAACGCTCAATATAATATAAAATAAAGTATTTAAAGAAGTCAATATTAAAATAATTAGAGGAGTTTTAAAGTAAACATGCAAACAATAAAAAAGAATTGATAGCGGATGGACCTAAAAGTGCGACCCAAATATCGAAGAATATAGAGGACAACTTTGTATATAATACCTATAGAGATAGAGATAGAGCTTTACTTGACTTTATACAGTATCATTAGAAGCAACCAACCACCCATACTCTATTCACCTGAAAGTTTAGCTCTACTCGGCATCCGCACAACACACGTTCAATCGATCTTATCGTGCCGGCGGCCTCAAATTACCGAATTCTTTCGAAGGTCGTACTCGATAATTGCCGAATTAT